ATTGACTACTTCCTCGAGTGCCTCCTCATTCCTGACGACCTGCTGACAACGTGCGGTGGTTAACTCTTCCGTGCTCAAGTGTGGATCGTCATCTAGCCTGTTCCAGGTAGGGACCAAAACTTGTATCAAAAAATCGATTTCCCTTCCATACCAGAGTTCTGCCGGAATACATCCCGTTGTTCTTTTTGGAGTCATGTTCTCGGCAAAGACTGCCTGTTTGAGAAACTGTGGCCAATTTCTCAAATTATCTGCTGCCAACTTTGCGATTGTATTCTTCAAAGTCCGGTGACCCCTTTCTACTGGTGCATTTACCTCAGGATGGTAGGGCTCAGTAATCTTGATCGGTACACACAGTGTCTTAAGCCTGTTCAACACTTCCTGGTTAACGAATTTTGTCTCATTGTCTGCTATAAACCTGCGCACAAAGGGGTGCCTTACGTAGAAATCTTCCACCCAGTCGGCCACCGCTTTCCCCGTCTTCTTCTTGAGGGCTATGGCTTCCACATAGCCACTAAGATTATCCCTTGCATCCAAGATGTATCTAAACCCATCCGTTGATACGGGCATAACGGCAAGGTCGAGGTGAACAAGGTTTCCGGGTCCCGGTACCCGGGTGGGTCTAAGGGGCTCGTAAACTCGTACGACACTTCTTTCTTGACATATCAGACATGTTTGACAATACGTTGCGACCATGCCTGCCATCCGTGGCCAAAAGTACAGGGGCACGATCTTTGCAAGTGTCCCCTTGGACGACCGGTGACCTCCAGCTAGCCCGTCATGCATTGCCTGGATTATGTCCAGCTGCCTAGACCTCCCACAAACAACACGCCTAGGTGTCATCCCTTCCTCTTTCTTGAACAGGTGGCCATTTTTTAGGACATACTTTTCGACTTCCTCCCTTGCCTTGGGACTGACTTCCGTAGGTTGTTTGTTCCCTACAAGTAGCAGACCGATTTCTTTGAAAATGCCCTCGTACATCTGTATGAGGAAGAACTCTTGTTCCTTCTAATCCGTACCCTGCTCCTCCCGAGTGAGGTTGACTAGATACTGACACTCCTTCTGTGCCCAGGCTTCGGCCAACGTTATCACGGCGTCCCGTCCCCCCTCCACGGTCATTGCCATCAGTTCCTCTCTGGCCCATACATCTGCTCCCCACGAGTTTTTTTCCTCTTTAAGCCTAACGTGGTGGTTGGTCTTTCCCTGAGTTCTGCAACTACTGCAGGTGCGCCCTTTTCCAAGATTGCCGGACCTGCCATCTCATTATCCACGACAAGGGTCCCTCCTTCGTACTCCAGGAAGGCATCAATTGGTTCTGCGTCCTCTACTCCTTCTGGCGTGATACAAACCCTGCTCAGCCCATCTGCCCTATTTCGAAGCCCTGCAATTCGCTCGACCTTATAGTCGAATTGTCATATGAAGTCTATCCATCTGCCAACAGTCGGGTCTATGGGCTTGAGGTTCTTCAGGGCTCCGACAACGTTGGTGGGATCGATCCTTAGGATAAATCGCCTCCCGAACAGGTATGCCTGGAAGGTCTTAAGACAATGCAAGATTGCTAAGACCTCCTTCTTGAACTGCGAATACCGTCGTTCTGCTGAATTCGGGGTCCTACTTTCAAATCTGATTGGTCTTTCTTTGCCCCCCTCGCTTTTCTGTATCAATACTCCTCCCACTGCCAATGGTCCCCCGTCTGTTTCTAAGATGAAGGGTCGTCCTACCTCGTCATTAAAACAGGGTGCTGCTAACGTGACCTGATCGGATGATAGGATGTCTTTCAGGGTCTGGGATGCCTCTTCCCTATCCTCGGTCCAATGCATAGTGCCACCTTCCCTAATCATCGCGCGGATGGGTTCTGTTATCTTTGCGAAACCTTTGATGAAGATCCTCTAGAACCCAACCACCCCTAGGAAGGCTCGTACTTCCGTCGTGGTACGCAGGGGTGTCGGCCACTGAGAGATCCCATAGGCTCCACAACGAAATCCCAGTATGGTTACTTCCGGGACGGCCAGGATGCTCTTGGGTCTGCTTGCAGTAATGTTGTAGACTAGGAATCGCTGGAGTAAATCCTTAACATCCTGCAAGTGGTCCCAGACGAACTTCCACACTCCCGGTTGCACTTCCGTCTCATCTTTGTATCTTGCGCCTTTCACGGGATTATCATCTATGTAAGGTTCACACTTTTCCGAAAACATATCCCCTACGACGGCGAGTATCCTCCTCTGAGCTTCTGCTACCGCATTTGTGAAGCCCATAGGGGTCACTTGCATCTGCAGCTGTCCTACCGGGGTGTGCATTGCGGTATACGGTCTATCCCTCTCGTCGAGCGGCAACTGATCATATCCTGAGTACAAGTCTACCAAGGAGTAAATACTCCGCCCCGCATGAGATTCTGCCAACAAGTCGGCCTGTGGAAGTGAGCATGCGTCCCTGATTGTTACCGCATTGAGCTTCTGCAGGTCCTGGATCCATCTGAGCGTCTTATTGGGCTTCCTGGACACGAACCATTTGTTCGCGTAGGGAGATGCGGTGGGTTCAGCCACGAAAGAATCTATTTTGGCTCTAAGCAGGTCGGTGACCTCTGCTGCTATCCCAAACTCGTAGGCGGGCCCTTTATCATTCCAACACTCGTGCTGTACGGTGTGGATCCTGACAGGGGAAACTAGCTTTGCGTCCAATCGCCCTTTCTGATGATCGTTGAAAGCGAAAGCTAAAAGAAACTTTTGGCTTGCCTTTCTTATCAATTGAGTTTCTTTCGTTGTTCGAAACCTTTCCACTCCTATTTTCATGGTGTCTGCTACCTCATCTGGTATGCGATGCCCTTCCGTTAGCTCGCCTCTCCCTTATTACCCGCAAGATTTCCTCCTCATTTTCCATGGCCTCTTCCTTTGACATTTCTACTAGGATCGAGACCGGCTTGGTCTTCTTGCCTACGGGTTTATACTTTCGCACATACCTTCGGGGATCGTTCTCCTGAAAAATGAACGGTCGGGATTGACCTTGCTACCTCCAAGACGCGTGGCTGGATGCTGACCAACTTCCCATTCAGACAGTAGCCCTTTCAAACCCCATCCTCAAATCTGGCAAGCGCTGCAAGGTTCACCCCCACTTTGTGGTACCTGATGGCCTTAACGAGTTGTAATAAATCTGGGATTTCAAGCACTACCTCCGACGTTTCGTTCCGGGCTTCCTTTGGTTTGGGCAGGCTGGCCCCAAGTTCGACTTCCGGCTCTTTTTCTGCCACCATAACTTCCAGTGACTCGTCCTCTGGCCTCCTCGTCTTTACGGGCTAGCCCATCTTGATCCACTCCTTTTTGCTAAAAGCCTCCTCAATCATAATTTCTACCCTTTCCCTCATTCCTTCCATTCGTGTGAATGCCCCCTTTCGTGCACTTTCTTCGAATGTTGGCGACCAGGTTGCCAATTTGCCCTTCGGAGGGTCCCCTCCAGTTCCGAGGAGTCGGAGGAGTTCTCCGCGACCAGTCACCGGATCCTCTATGTCTACCATGTATGTGTTGTCGTGCAGATGCATTCCTATCATTTCCACATTGGCGCACTATGGTCTCCCGAGGATTACGTCGTGATCCATCTCTTCCATCACGGTCATCCGCTGAAAGGACCAAATGGATTCCTGGATTTCCGCCCTGACTGAACATTTGGTGACATACCCTGTGAAAGGAATTTCACCACCTGCTCCCCAGATACTCCCTGCTACTTCCTTGTTTACCATGCACCCCGTGACCGTTGCGAAATCCCATCGTATAAGGGTGATTTCTGCTCCGCCGTCCACTAACGCCTCAGTGTGGTGAGTTCCGATTTGAACTTTAAGTTTCTCAACTGGTAATGCATGGAAGCTAAGCTTTGTCCGGGGTGGCGCCCTCATGACTTCACCACCTTCACGATCCGGTAGGCTTAGGCGGATGTCCGCAAAGGCTTTCTCCAACTCTCCCAGACCCCCTGGAATGGTTTGGACGTTGGAGACTCCTTGCGGCGCCTCGGCCTCCTCCATGTCCTCCTCTTGCAGTTCCGGGGTCTCCTCTACCTCTACGCGCTTACGCGTTAGCAGCTGCCTGAGTCCTTTAAGCAGCCTTGGGCTGGCTTGCAGCATGGTCTGAAAAGACACCGATACTATGGTACCAAGTAGCTTACTCAAGGTGCCATCGATTTCTGGCGAAGTCAGGGTCGAAATTTGATACCTGAATTTTTTTTTTGCAGCCGTAGCCTTGTGTACCGGTTCGTCCTCCCTTGGCTTCCCATAGACCTTCTCTTGTTCCGCGGCTTCGGTCTCTTGCTTGCCCGTGCTAGTCCCTGCGAGTTCCTCCATTACTGTGTCTTGAATAAGTTTCTTTTCTGCGCCGGCCCGACAAGTGGTGATGTTTACCCTATCCTGGTCATTGCCTTCTAAGATAAAATTGGCCTGTGGTCCCCGTCCCCTTGGCTGGTCTCAAACAATCTCGGCTATCGGCTCTGCTTCTACGACAACTATCTCTAAGTTATTCAGGAGGATGACGGTTCGCCGCATCCCTCCTGGCGAGTTCCAGTTGACGCGCTCTCCCCTGGGTCCGAGGATCTCGCCTTTGAGGGACCTACTACACCTCTGCCGCTCAATGTCGTGATTGAGTCTCGGACAGGCCCGTATGAAATGCCCGATCATGGTGCAATACTTGCATTGTTCGTTGGCCGGGTACCTTCTGCCAAACCCCCGGTTTGCTATGGCTGCCGGAACCACGGCCTCTTGGGGCGGGAGGGTGCGTCTGGACACTTGCGCCTGCATTACTAACAGCACATTTTCCATTATGTCCATCTTGCTATCAACCCCGTGCACCCGTCCATGCAGGCTCTCTATCCCCTTCTTGACCTTATCCCCCGTCTTCCCGGTCAGATCTATGACCTCCCCTTCCTTAAGTAGGGCTAGCGTCTCAGTAACCACTGTCTTTTCCGCAAGGTCTGTTACGGTGCTGAAATCCACATCTCTCGTGTATTCGAACTTACTGGTCTGCTGGTATGCTGACAAAATTTTATCCTTGTCAAACTCGGAGAACTGCCTGAGGAAGTATTTACTCATTATGCGGTCCGTTACCCCGGGAATTCGCAGAGCCACTAACGTGAACGCCCTCAGGAAATCATTGTAGGTCGCATAGTTTTTCCTCTGGACTGCGGCTAATTCTGCCTCTGTTGCCATTTTTTCTGCCTTCACGTATTTCCTCATCATCTCATTCCTGGTCTCTTTCCAGGATCCACAGGAGGCGACGATGGCCATAATGCCCCTTCCCAAACTTAGCGATACGTGCTGTCCTAGGTGCTCCATCTTTTCCTCTTCCGTCTATTTCAGTAAGGCTGATAGGTTCTCATAGTCTATTAGAAACTGCGTAATGTTGGCCCCATCGAACGTGAGTTTCTTTTTTGCATCTGCGAGATACCCCTGGTTCTTGTTCAGCGTCCTGTTGAGGGTGGCGAGTACTTTCTTGAAACCGTCTTCGGAGCCACCCGCTTCCCCGGCTGCACTGGCTCCTTCCCCTTCCTTGCTTTCCCTCTGCTTCTCCCTGGTTTTCGGTGTTCCTTCTGGGTCGAACCATCCTAGCACTCTCTCCCTAAGGCTCCARAGTCCGTCACACGCCCCTGTTACTTTCGGCGTGGCGGGTAGTCTGCTAGTGCCGCTGTCAATGGCGGGTGGGGTCATAGCGTTTTCCGTTCCTTCCGCCGGGGGGTCGCTCTTGTCCTTCCCCTTCTTGCTAGGCGTTCCTTTGTGACTATCATCCTTCCCCTTATACCTAGCCTCGTCCTGATCGGCCCTGCGTCCCTCACGTGACCCTGCGTCCTGGAGGTCCTCCTCATCCCCGACCATCATCCGCTCGATAAGTCTTGCCTTAAATTTCGTTGTCCGCTTCTCTATCTCTGCCAGTTTATGACTGGTATCCAAGACTTTCGTCTTTTTAGGGGTGGCTCCTGATGAGTTCCGAGGACTTGTTCTCATATCATTTCCCCCTTCCCTATTTTCCTGAAGTCCCCTTTTGCTACCCCCAGTTTTCCCCGAGCTTTCTCCAATTGAGGCGTCCTTTCCGTCTTCTCGGGTCCCCTCCAGTTTGGCTGACTCTCGATCCTTGGCTGATTCCTCGTTTCGTTCCCTATTCCCATTCGTGCCCTGATTCCCTCCGCTCTGCTGGTCATCGATCCCTTCCTCCGTCGCCATTTCTTTCCCTAGCCTGCACATGGAATTTTTTTTTTTGCGAAAAGCCGACCGATTGTTCATAACTGCCCTAGTCCCGTCCCTGAAATCCGCTTATTCCCATAGTTTTGCGTCTTACATTAATCAGTACGATTCTTCTGACTTTTCTCTCCCGGGGCGTCCTTCAGGTTTTCTTCTACCGGAGCCTTGCCGCCGCCGCTTTGGCATTTCATTACTGTCGCGCTTTGATTCTTAGGGCGGTACCTTAGCCAGTGGCTTTCCTATCGGGGATGGCCTTTTTGGCTTATTGGCATCCAGGTGCCCCGGAATCTTTGGAGCGGGTGGTCTTCCTAGTTCCTCCCTGCCGCATCATTGGGTCGGCCGGAACTCCAACCACTGCATCTCTTTTGCTGATGGCTGCCTACTTATCTTAGTACCCATTCTTTATTTCCCTACTTCTCCCTGACACGTTTTTCTCATGCTGGTCTCTCAGGCCTGCCCTGCTCATCCGGTTCCTCGAACAGGTCAGCCAACCCATCAAGGTAATTTTCCCCCATTTCTATTTCCTTGATAATTATTGGCTCATATTCTTCAAACGACAGGTGGTGCAATCCGAATATCAAGATCTCGAGTAATTCGAGTAGTTCCCAGGCCTGGTTTCCCCAGAACGGCCCATGTCTGACCGACACGTCATAGAACTTGCCCGTTGTTTGCAGCCGGAAGAGGTGGATCCAAACCAGAGTCGAGTCTACCAAATCCCTTGCCCTCTTGAGACTACCGAGTACAAGGTCTACCATGAAGCGAGGTACTCGACACCTCAACCTGGTCATTGGGGCCTTAAACTCTCGCCAACCTCCTATCTCCACCCGAGTCTTTAACCCCACATTCCTTCTTCCTCGCACTTCCTGGCCCACCCGGTTTAGTACTCTAGCAGCCATCTGGAAGATTGGCAACAACCCATGCCCTAGTGCCAACTCCATCCCTAACATGTGCCACCCGAGCTCTGGCAGGTATACGGTCCCCGTTACCCTAAGATCAGTGCACAGATCGTCCCCCGGTCCTCTATTAATTCTCATACCATCCCTCAAACATTCCACCATCATGAACGCCTGACCTCTTCTTAGGGTCACGACTCTCCACTCGGTATCCAATCCTTGAATCATGTAGCTTGCTGGGAGCGACACCTCCCATCCATCTCCGTTTTCCGTGGGTGGCCGTGGGTGCATGGGTCGTCGCGGCATCCGGGTGCGTCTCATCGTCATTTCCGACTTAGAAGTCCCCTGCACAGTTTTAAACAACACGCAAATTTACTTATTCCCCTTGGTCTTCAATTTTCTGTCCGGACAACTCCCCGATTCCTAGCCTGACACTTCTTTCCCCCTTCTATTTCTTTCCCCTCTCCTTGACCCTATTACCGACCTGTCCCCTCCTCCGTCTGCTCATATAATCGGTACAGATAATCTACGTACGCCATTCCTTGATTTATCTCCCGTCGGACAACGCCCCACAGGACCTCACTTCCCACGACCGGAACCCTCGGCCTGATACTAAACACAGCACGCAGGATGCGCAGCACCTCGTACTTCTGCTCTCCGCTGAACGGCCCCATTTCTAAGAAGACCCGGTAGTATTCTCGATGTACCATCGCCTCTTCATATGTCAAGCTTGTGAGATCGGCTACTGCTTGTCTAACAAGTTCCAAGCCGCTCAGTTTTTCCAGCAAGAAGGGTGGCAGCCTCATTCGTACACTTTTGCTAGGCAATTAAAAACTCACAACCATGGCTACCCTAAGGTCCGCTGTTACATCGTCAACCCCTGGATCTGCGAACTCAAATCCCGTTTTCCATACTAGCTGCCATGCCCCTGCAAACATGCTCAACGGGTCTTCTCTTGATGCCAGCTGAGCTTCGAACTCCCTCCATCCGTTTTCCGACACATACAACCACCCTTCTGCGCGCGCGTGCCCCCGTGGGTCTGGGTTCCATTCCCCATTCTCAGCCGCAAGCCACTCAACTTTCGTCACCAAATAAACCATATTTTTCGCAAGCTCGATCCTGACCCAATCCGCCACCCGGTGCCAGCCTTCACTTGCCGCCGGCAAGCTAACCTCTTCTCCACCCGGTACTTCCCTAGGCGGTTCAACGCCCAAGGGGCGTTCCTCAAGGAACGTTCTTCTTCGCGCCATCGCACACTCGCCTTTGTTCTCCTGGCCCGTGATCCGCACTAAACCCTGCAATGGCCAGACATCCCATTCCCTTATCTTAGCAATTTTTCCCATACTTGCCTGGCCCCAGAACTTTCTGGCGCTTAATCGAACCACAGTACCTCGAACAGTTTGAACACATCATCCACATAACAAGGTGTTGCTGCTACCTCACGGCAGATTATGACCTCCCAGGTTTTCGGGGCCACCTTCTGTCGGTCATTCCTTTCAATGTCCAAAATGATAAGGACCTCCCAGGCTCTGTCGCCGTGGAAGGGTTCGTATTTCAAGGATGTCCTATAGAATTCCCCTGCCAGCCAAGTGCAATTCATATGTGTTCGCTCCATCGTGCCGGCTACCTCTGTTACATGATTAAGACCCCCAAACCAGTCTGCCACGAATTCGGGTACCCAGGTCTTGATTCGGGCGCCGGGCGGTTTAATTTTTTTCCATCCTCCCATCACGACTCTACTGCTAACCGTATCCCACCTTTTATTAGCAAGACTTTCCCCCGCCTGTTGAGCCCTTGCCTCAGCGTCCCCTAAAAGCCACATCGGGTTCTGCCCTGCAGCGAGCGTCATGCAGAACAGGTGTCAGCCCTGTTCCGAGAGAACAATCGTCCCAGCTGATTCCAGCCTTCCTTCCGCAATCTCCTCCCATCCTTCCTCTTCCCTTAATGGATTCCAGAACCGCTCTATCCAAAGGTACGATAGTTCCGGCACGTTCTCATACCCCCGCCAATCACATGGGGTCCCTTTCCATTCATTACTCGGTGGTATTGACATCTCTACTCCCCTTCCAGTTCGTCTTGGTTCTCATGTGCAGTCCCACAATTCGAGTTCTCGAGCCATCGTTCCCTACCTGCACATAGCTGACAACCCGTTTTCCCCAGGTAAGCCCCCCTCAGAAGTCCCAGTCCTCTATCTCGTCCCTGTCCTCCTCATCACTGAAATCCTCCTCCTCGTCTAGGAACATCTCTTTCACCCCTTCCAAGAAGATTTCCCCTGCTGCCACGTTTCGGTAAACTATCTGCCAATGCACCGGGCTGGGAACAAAAAATTCGTCCGCGCTGAGGAGGTTTAACATCTCAGTCAATTCTTCCACCCAGTTTCCTTCGAACGGCCCTGCTTCCACCGACAATTTAAAGAAGTCCTGCCTAGCGCCTTGGTACAACCTCAGGTGTGTCATCGACCGGCATATCCGCTCCAATCTACCCCTGGTCCCAAAGACTGCATCCACTAGAAACGGGGGTAGCACGCATCTCATTGTCCTAAGGGGGCGTCTCATATTTTTCTGGTCCCTGAGTTCCACTCGCACCTCCATCCTCTCCATCTCCATTTCTGCCCGCTGACATGCAGCCCACACCACCTCCCGTTCCGCTTGCCTAAACGGCTGATCCGGTGCCGTGCCCAATACTAGTCCCACGACCATTGCGTTTTCCATTTCTTGAGACAGGTAGATCCACCATCGGGCTTCCACCGTTCCCCGGAATTCTAGGTCCATCAAGTTGGGTGAGAGTTTTGTTAGGCTGACCTTGGTCCAGATTGTCTCTATCCAGAGGAACGCGTCCTTCTTGTCCAGCATCACGGTTTCATAGGCTGGTTCTAGGTCGGTTCACGTCCCTTCTTCCAGGAAAATAACAGATACCCAATCCCTTACCTCTATAGGCATTTCCGGACCACTAGAGTAGACAGGAGGCGATAACCATTGCGCCATCTTGTTTTTCCCGGCGCTTACCCTGTTTTCCACATGAGAGCACCACACGGTCCCCTCATGGTCAAATGGTTTGCTTTTCCTTTCCTAGATGAGAGTTGTTTTCAGACCCCTCATCCGGGTCTCCCTAACTTTTCTCATCCAATTCCCAAGTGTCATTGTCCCACCGTACTCCCAATCGATCGCCAGTGGCCCACATTCCTTCTTCTTGGTTCCATCTTCTTCCGACTCCTATCCAGCCTCTTCCTCATGTTCTCTCACTCGTGCTGACTTAGGCGGAGGTTGAGAATAGACTAGAGACCCGGTCCCCATCCAACATTCATCAAGCAAACTTTACAGAGGGAGGCACAAAAGGCAAAACTCAGGCAAACGTCGCACACAGGTCGGTCGTCTCCTCACCGACCTCTTCCTTGGAAATGGTCTCTCCACTGTTGCTATCGGTCGGGCTTTACCCCATACCTCAAGTACAGCTCAACCGTCGCAAACGTGGTACCCAGGTCTCGGCAAGGCATTCGCCCTTTCCTCCTTACCCAGAATACCCCATCCCGACTTGCCGCTCGTGTACCCACCGTTAATCTCGGGAATCACCCCGCACATCTCAGTAGGGCCATTGGAGCCAGCCGTCCAGGCATTCACTTTCATCGGTCTGATAAGGAACAACTTTCTCCAAGCCATGCTACGAGAAGCTCTTAATCACCTCCGAGGCTCCTTCCTTGCCCCCTATGCAGTGGTCCCCCTGCTGTCTGCCGACAAGCAGCCGCCCCGCCTGAAGACGTTTCACACCCCACCTGGGCAAGATCATCGAGCCATACTCGGACCGCTCGGGTGAGAATGCTACTAATCAGCCGACGAGACCAACCCTTGTCTGACAGCCCGGTGGCCCGACCCCCACACACGGAACCCGGTGAACTTCAAAGAGGACGACCATTCCGCATCCCGCACCGACCGGCGCAAACCAATCCTTTCCTTCCGAATGACAGGACGCTCGAAATCCCAATCATGCAATCACAAGTCCCAAATGGGACACACATAACACATGTGCCTTTCACCCTGGTGCACCCAGCGCGTCCTGCCCATTGCTCGCAGGTTTTCACTCAGGGCAGTGTGTGTCACTCACCCCTAGATTCCATACATAGTGCCGGGTCCTTTTTCGTGAGCATCTTCAAAGGTGAGCTAGTTTTCTTGGAGTCTAGCAACTCCCTTCTTTCCCTTATCTTCGCTTGTGTGTCCGTTCATAGGGCAGGATTGTTCCCTCTCGATTACCGTTTGTGTTCATATGAGGTTCCTTCAAGCATTTAAGTGTGGTGCACGGAGCCCGCTGGGCTCCGAAGAGGAGAGAAGGCACCCAGGTCAGTCGGATCGCTCCGCCGCGGGATTTTTGTTGGCACCCGGACTAGCCCAGAATCCCAAACGCTTGCCAGTTAACCGGAGCCCTTCTTTCACACGAAGAGGAAGGGTCGACCCGCGGCTTGCCCAAGGCTTCCCTGGCCTGACGATCATCAGTCCAAGGGAAGGAGGACTAGAGTCATCTCCAAAGGAGATGGCTGAGCAAAAGTGCAAGCATGCATATTCCTCCTCCAGGCCTGGCCTTGCCATGCGCCCAGCCACCCTCAAATCTGATTCTCTCAAGGATAGAGCATACACAAGTCCATATTCCTTATCTTTATGTTTGTGTTCTCGGTCGTGCGTCGGGCCCCCCCCTCGAGACCGTATGGGTCAGTTTAACCCAATACCCGGCGCCTCCACCATTTTTGTAGGGGCCATGCCCTGAAGGACTTTTGAGCCTTGGTCGACCCCACGGCGGGTCCCATTTGGCTCGACCCGCCCACGCTCACGCTTAGGGCGCTGGTCGTTTGTCCCAGGGGCACCCCCACCTAGTGCTTTGAGATGGGTGGGGATGGACCTTTTGCGAGAGGGCTTTACATTGGGGGATGTAGCTTCGCTCTCGCATCAAGATGGAAGCTTTTCGGCACTCGTGACGTTTTCTTGATTCATTAAGGTCTGACCAGGCAATTGCTCCTTCCAATACGCAGGCAATCCAGGGAGTTCATTGAGGTCTCATTTTCTTATCGTGCGCAGGCCAAGCGTCATCCATTGGGCCACGTACCTTTTCACTAAGCCTACCCTTCCCTTTCCCCTGACGACTGGTTGGTGCTTTCTGGGCTGGGGCCTTTCCCTTTGCCAAGCCCATCAAAGCATCAGCCAGGGCAAGAATAGGATCTGCAGCTGATGATGAGGCAGTCCCAGGTGGAAGGCTCCCACCCTGGGATGCTGCGTCACTATCAGAACCAGACGCTGCAGCAGCAAACAGGGCGCCCTTCCTCCTCCTTCACCCTTTGGAGGAGGGCCCCTTCCTTCCTTCAGAAACATGGAGTTTGGACTCCAAGTCCAGGGCTGCTCTACCAAAGGACCTCCAGTCCTTGTAGCCCTGAGAGAAGAGAGCAAGCTGGAATTGCTCAGGCACTGCCCTCAGGAAATGAATGAGCAGATCCTGCTCACTCATCTCCAACCCTGGAGTCGATGTCAGACTCTCGAAGGTGGAATACAGTTTGGACAAGGAGCCATCAAACTTTTTCTGGCCCAGGCACAAAATTTTATCTACAGCCTTTCTTGCCTGCTCCTTGTCTGCAAACCGATCTTGCAGGGCCTGCAGAAATCCAGTCACCCCCAACCTCTGCGCCCAATCAGCCATCTCCATCCCCTGCTTGCTGGAAGTAGAGGTGCACCATTTCAGTGCAGTCCTCTCGAGCCGTGCCAGGATGGCTGACACCTTCACATCCTCATCACATTTGAACCCACTCAGGTAGGTTCGCTGCGCAGTCACCCAATCTGCCACATCCACCTTAGGATCTTCTCCTGAGAACATTGGTGGAGGGGTCAGCTTGGGCCGCTACGGCTCAAATGGGGCTGAGGACTGAGAGGGTGCTGGTGACTTGGGTGTAAGAGGTGGGGATGTAGGTCTGGAGTGTGGGGGTCTTGGGACAGGTGTTGTAGAAGGGCTAGAAGAAGGAGGAACAGCCTGAACAGGGGTGATCTGCAGCTGTTTGGCAATGTTGCTCAGCTGCGCAGAGATGTCATCCAGCTTCTTTGACAAAGCTGAATGATTGGTCTCTAGACCTGAGATTCGGTCATCCCAGTTAGTAAAGTAGGACCGGTGAATCTCATCCTGTAGCAGGATGAATTCTACCATGTCCTTACTTGCTTGACTGGTTGTACCGAGGCTCATAATTCTCTGCATGTCTCCAATCAACGCTTTTCTCCTGGCCTCTTTCTGGGCATGCTCTTCCTTCCTCTTGAGCTCTGCCTTTAGGTCCTCAACTGCCAGGGCCTGCAAGCGGAGTTTCTCCTCTTGGGCCCGCAGTTCAGCCTCTAAAGGGTCAGGCGGTGCAGGTGTTACAGGCTGCACTTTCATCTCAAGCTTGACCTGGGGTGTCTCCCCAGAACTCTCAACTACCTCAGCCTTCCCTGATTCCGCCATGTTGCTCCCACAATACAGACAAACAAATAAACAACAAGTAACAATCAAAGAACAGATAGGAGGTAACAAGAGTTGGATGTTCCCTGCAGTACTAATCCAATTGTTGTCACCTGCCTGGAGAGAGAAGATTGGTTAACCTGAGCAAGTGAGTGCTCAGTCTCAGCAGACCGCGTGAGGGTCAGGGTCAGTTCAGTGTCCACTCAGGCAAAACCCAATTTCACGATTTTTCCATCTCTGCCCTGACACAACAATTGCATGCAATAATTGCAAATCCTGAATCAACAACTGACAGGATGCAGTCTTGGACTAATTAGTGTTGATTAGTAATCAGACAGAGTGACTAATTAGGGTTCGATGGGTATCTACCTATGACCAAAATGCAGCGATTTGCAGGAAAACCTATTTTTAGACCTACCATGTTGACATCAACACTGTATGACCCTGGATGCCATACTGGGGGTATGGCAAATTACAGCAAACACTATAACTGACTCAAAACATCAAATCTGACTGTGCGATTTCAGACACTGCTAGAATGTTGAATTGTGATTTACCAGGGACTTACAGAACTGAATTCTGACGGGCAGAATCAAAGTTATGACTGACTCTAGTCTACCATAGCTTTGGCTATGTCAGCGCAGAATTCAAATTTGCATTATCACTGACAATTGGACCCTGAAACCATCAATTCACTGCACAGTGTAAATCGCAATACTGTAAAGCAGTCCCATATGAAATTTGAGCCAGAGGGGAGGTCAAACAGGGTTAGTAGAGGTCAAAGAAGATAAGTAGGAGAAGTTGGATATGGTTGTCCCACAGTCTGAATTTCAATTTTCAATTGTCACCTGACAGACAGACCAAATTTCGCTAGTCTAAAAATAGCCCAGAATCGTCGTACAGGATATCGTAAGGAACACACTCACTTCAGGGTCAACTTTGAAGAAGATGCATGGAATCTTGGCTATGGCTGAATAGTCAAGCCTGTCTCGCCAGTTTCACCTCCTGACAATATACTGTGCTTCCACGTACAAAATCCTTCCAAACTTGGTGATCCAGTAGAGTTCCCTGAAACGCTTCACCCCCAACTGACAGATTCAACGAATTTGGACTCCCAGGTGCTGATAACTGCTCCAAACAGTACAGCGCCACATCACCCTGTACAACGCTGATTGGAAATTCGGGGATTCTGACCCAATTCCAAAATCGCAACCTCCTGGGATCACTTCCCTGACAATCGCCAACCTCCAGGTGAATCGCCAGGCTATAATTAACCTCCCAGAGCCTTCTGGGCCTCTGGATTATCAATCGCCACTCACTCCTGCATAACCCTAGCCAGGAGTGTGTCACCCTCTGTCTGTTACTTCTCGCCACACACTAACAACCACCACCCTACTGACAACAACCCTGAAGATGATGAATCGCCATGAAGCTCAACTCCAGTATCTCGCCAGATGATGATGGGTGCTCGCACTCATCAATCGCTTCAGAGTCTGGATCCAATTGCTCTGATACTGGTTGTACGTTGTCTGAAGGCCAACACTCGCTCACATAAACTTCTGCACATGCCCATACACACACAGAAGGAAGGGGAGAGGATAGGAGTATCACACCGCATAGGGAGAGATAAACACAGCGGAAGACTTGTCCATGCGATATGACAGGGTACACTGAAAGTGCAATTCACTCCATTCAATCCTCACAACCAGTCATAGAGAAAAGCCGAGCAGATCACATCCAGAAAACAATGAAACGATGATAGCTCAAACACAGTTCCACACTATTTATTAAACTCAGAGTCTCAAAATGTCAGGATCACTTCATAACTACAGTGCGCTGCTGCGAATTGAGCAGCGCTTCCCTCTCCAACCTTGATAGACACCCGTAACACCCCCTGAGCCCTGAAACATCAAGCGCCCCCCAAATACAGCCTCCTGGGGGCAGCGCCACCCTGAAACAGGCCTCTGAGGCCAAGCGCCACTCAGAGGATGAAGACGAAGACCAGCGCCATAGTATCTGATGATGACGAAGTGTCGGGAGGCTTCCCGGATGGAAGACTGCAGCAGCGCCACCAAACCC